TCGATTTTTGGAAGAAGTTGGAAGGAGTTTGCGATTTAGCAAGTTCCTTTGAGTAGATCTCGAACTTATGGGGTTCTAAGAAGCAAAAATCATAAAATGGAGTGATTAAGAGTGATAAGTTAGCATGAATATGAAGTTAAACTTCTTGAGTGGAAGTAGCTTACCAAAATGAATGGATTTAATGAAGTGCTCTTGAACTCACACACACGAATTTGGAGATGGAAAATGAGATTTTCTTGAGAGTTTTAGAGAGAATTTTTGGTGAGTTTGAGAGCGAAATGAAGGTGGTGGTGAGGATGCTTATGGTCGAGAGTTATGAAGAGAAGAAAGAGAGGTGATTAGGCTTGGTTAATACATGGTGGTTTAGAGTGTAGGTGCTTAGATACATGTGAGATATATCACATGGATTACCACCAAGTAAAGATGAGGTGTCTCCATTAGAATTATCCCATCTTCTCTCTTTTTATTTATTTATTTATTTTTTGTATAGGGCCGAGAATTTAAGGGAAATAAAGAAAAATATGGACCTTGGGCTTGTTCTTGCATTGACCCATTAGGGAGTTTTGATCCATGTGGCTCACCTATGTGTTTACGGCCTAATATGACAAAAAGAATGGGTTTTCGGCCCATCACAATTAATTATGTGATTTTCAGCCCAATAAGGTCCATGAAAACAAAGTGAGACATTTTAGGCCCAATATGGCCCAAAATGCTATAGTTTAATGAATGTGGGTCCACTTAGGGCCCAAATGAAGTTCCTTGACCCAAAAATCAAATTGATGGGTTTATTGGCCCATTAGGCCCAATAAGAGGATCCTGGTCCAATCTGAGTTTGAACCGGGACATTAGGGTTACACGAATGAGTTTTGATTTGAATAGTTGTTTTTGAATGAATATTATGTATAACATCAACTTAGAGTTACAAGCTACAACAAGAGTTGATTACATATAGACAAAATTTCCTAGCCCAAATGCTAGTTGTGATAGTTGATATGGTGGGTTCATTTCTAGGTTAATAATAATAGACAAAACTGCAAAAATGATCCCTATGGTATGCATTTTTTCCAAGGTTTAGTCCAAACGTTGACTTTTTTGGCTTCATAGTCCTTTTGGCCTAGTTTGTACGTGGAAATGGTCCCCCGACTTAACTCCCATTAAGTTGTTGTTGTTGTTAACCCCCTCATGTGTCTCCCACGTGAGGGTATATTTGTTTTTTCACCTTTTAGGGACCATTTTTGCACCCGAGGATAAATCAAAATACTTATTTAATAAGACGGGGCCCCACCTATCTCTCTCTTTCTCTCACACACACATACGAGAATCACCACTCACCCCTACCTCTCATCTCTAAACAAAATATTATAGGAAAAAAAACACCCTCATTTAATCTTCTTGAACTCACGCCTGATACCAGAAAACAAGCAACAAAAACCACTTCCACATATGTTTGATTTCATCTGGTACAATGTTAAGGCTCGATTGGCCCCTCGTCACTCAACCATCGTCAACGCTCACAAGAGTTTCTGACGTGAGTAATCGCCGGTACACCCCATCACTCGTTTGGCTCCCCCTTTTTTCTTCAATCGTTGGTAAGAAATTAGGAAAAGGGAAAAAAGGTTTTTGCATTCTCTTCTCTCTGTCACGCAGGAGACATTTTTATTGATTTTCCAAGTTATGTTAAAAAAATGAACAGGGGCAGTGGTTTATGGTTTGATGAGGCTCTTACAACGGAGAAAGAAGGGTGGTGTTACAGTTGTCTTCTAGTGGTTTGAAGTCGTCGTGAAAAACAGAATAGATACAAATTCATGGAAGATTTGTCTTGGAGCATTTCTACGAGCAGTTGGTGTGCGCATTAAGGAATACACAATTAGACTTTGTTTTCACTTCTAGTTGAAATCAAAATTAATGTTGAATCCAATATGACAACTGAGAATTGGGTTTAAGATGGAATGATGGATCGAATATCAAACAGAAATAAGGTAAAAGGAAAGAAAAAGAATAAGTAGTACTTTCTATTCTGTAAGTTGTACTCTCCATTATCTTGGAACATATGTGATTACAGCGCTGGGAGGTTAAGAACTTAAGAGGCCATTAGAAAGCTCAAATAATCGATTGTGAATTTCTCCAGGCAACAATGGCTGTGGAAGTTGAAAGATTCCAAAAAAAGATAGAGAGGGTACTTCGAGTCTAATGTTTTCAGCACACTGGTGTTAGCGTGTGATTATAGACGTAGGTGTAGGAGACAAGGGAAATGTTAACCATCCAAGCTATAGGTTGTTGCATTTTCTTAGATTCGTTGCAGGTTTTTTGTTCGGGTATTAATGGAGGTCCAGAGTAAGAAAGATGACAGGGAAGAATGCTTATGTGGAAAGAGAAGGGGGGGGGGGGGGAGGTGGGCCCCTCTATTTAGATTTGAGAAATTAAATTACTTCCTACCTTTTATACCTACAATTATTCCTACCCAATAAAATTATAACAAATCACCATTCAATTTAATTGTATTTGACATATTCCTAATACAGCCTTAATGAGTTAGTTAAAAAAATATGAAATGATGACACTTGTCATAATTTTATTGGGTAGCAACATTTGTAACCATAAAAAGTAGGAACCAATTTAATTTTTCTTTAGATTTACCCTCAGGTGTAAAAAATGGTCATAAAACGTGAAAAGACAAATATACCCTCATGAGGGGGTTGAACTTAACGGCAAAACTAGGCTAAAAGAACTATAAAGCCAAAATAAATCGACGTTTGGACTAAACCTTGAAAAAAAATGCATACCATATGGACTATTTTTGCAATTTTGTGATAATAATGTAAAAGTTAGTATAAATCGTAATTTTGTAAAATCAGAACGATAAATGATAATAATAAGGTGGGTAGGGACTAAGTAGAAAAGTAAACAAGGACTTTAAACCACAAGGACCGTCCATGTAACGAAAAGAAGTTGGGAATGAAAACCAAAAAAAACAAAAATATGGAAAATCATAGGAACCATTTATGTATTTTTTTCAAAAAATAATGAATATCCGGTTGTGATCTGCAGTAAGTGCTGTATAGTCTGGTCTCATGTTTGAATTTGAAAATTTTACTATTTTCCACTCGGTTAAACAATGAACGTTGATTTTTTTACGGTTTTGTCTTCGATTTTAATAGTTTTTCAAAATTCTAGAGTTAAATCTTGGTTTAAAAGAAAAAGGCATGTTCATTATTCTTGGGTTGTATTGTCTTAAATATTATTAATATGTCAAAGATATGGTAGAAATCGTCTTTTATTCCAATGGTCATTGGGTATCCACGTTGAATCAATTTGTTACGGGAATACAATACAAGTATACAACTGACTTTCAAGTATCGACTCTTTATACTTTTTGAGGGCAATCTCAAGCTAGAAGGAAGTGCTAGCTAGAATCTGGTGATGGAATCTCGAAATGAGAAAAGCAGTCACTCACAAACAAATGGCTGATGAATGTATAATACTTGTAAAATAATAATATTAAATGTTCGAGGAAATGCCTTAAAGAACTCTATATAGGTCCTTGAGCTATTGTTTTTTTTTTTCAATGTTCTTGATCTTGCAGAGTTTTGTAAGGTGAGACCTAGTGTAAGAAATGCTGTGAAGTTCCATGTTCTAGCATTCATGGTTGCTTATCGTGCTCATCTGCCCATTTCCACGTCTGTTATTATGGCTTATTATTTAGCCAGCAAGACATTATCTTTCTTCTGTGGAAATTTTGATGAGAATTTTTGAAAAGATGTGGTAGTTTAGAATCGAATGATGATGGGTACGATTTAGAGATACAACAAGCGTTTTTGTTCACATTTTGCACGAAGTGATTACAATTTCATGGGGTTGGTTTAAATTGGAATGATTCTCGAAGCATTTCATCTTTCAAGGCAAGTGTAATAAAAAAATGCTTTTAAGAGAGGGTAAGACCATTCATGAATTCTTTATAAGAAGATTACCTGGATTGGACCTATCGGCACATAACAGCCTTAAAAACAATTATTATATATGCACTCCACATGCAATAGAATGAATTAATTTGAGGAATCACTTCATACTTTCTACTTCCAAATTCCGATGGTTTGGACCAAGTCATGGTTTGAGATGATCTAATTAAAAATAACTTGGATATTAGTATGTTCAATTGGTTTTGGCTCCAATTTTTCTCGATTGCGGGTTTCATCCGTTTTTTTTTTTTTTTTTTTTTTTTTTTTTTTTTTTTAACTCAATAACTCCTCGAATTCTCATGGTTTTTAACCTTTATCCCACTTCACTACTAGAAAACTAGGACAACAGCTACGGCACAATCTGTAGTTATTTAGTAGGTATAAGGCGATACCTACGGATTTGCTACGAAAAAGCCCTGTAGCATAAATGCCCGTGGGAAATTTTTACCTACGGAATTGCTATGGACTAACTAGAGAATAGCTACGGATTTTTCCGTAGGTATAATACCCACGGAATAGCTACGGACACGAATTACTACGGAATACGTACGGGTTGTCGACGGGTGTGAAGTTTGACTAAAATTGACTATTTTCCTACGGAATAGCTATGGAATCATATGACTACGGATTTTCTACGGATTGCCCACGCAAGTATTTTGCTACGGAATAGCTATGAAACCGTTTAGCTACGGATTTCCTACGAATTAACGACATAACTCAAGTTTGACTAAAATTGACTTTCTTCCTACGGAATACCTACAGACCTATTTAGCAACGGATTTCCGTATCTAGTCCGTAGCTAATTTCATTTTATGAAAAAAAAAAAAATTTTAAAAATTTAAAATTTTCCATTTTTTGTCAAATACCATATCAATTCAATTTGTCCAAAATACACCAAAAAAATGTCCCTAATACCAACTTTGACACATTCCATTCCATTGTCTCAAATACCATACAAATTAAGCATAACAAAACAAGCAAACAATACAAGTGTTTACAAATTCAATTGTTCCAAAATACTTATCAATTGTTCCAAAATACTTATCAATTGTCCTCGGGTGGATTATCGGGGGGACCACGGGGTTGATTTCCAGACATATTTATCATCCTTATAACCATCTCCATTTGTTCTTTCATTTGTTGTTGTTGTTGTTCCATGATAGAAACTTGCGCACGCAACCTATCAACCAAAAAAATGGTAACACAATTCAATACTTAAACAATAATAGCAATGTATTTTAGTTTATTGTAACAATGCATTTTAGTTTATAATTATAGCAATACACTTAACTTTTAAACCATAATAGCAAAATATATTTATTTATTATCAATTTAATCAATATTATCAACAAACTACATAACCTTTAACCATAATAGCAACGTACTTTTGTTTATTATCAATTTAATCAATATTATCA